ATTGCTCTTGACTTTGTTTAATGTTGCACTTTCAATGGGTGGATTGTTTGGAGGAAAAATGGGAGATGTCCTTGCAAAACACTTTCCGAATTCTGGTAGAATAATTCTATCTCAGATAAGTTCTGGCTCAGCGATCCCTTTCGCTGCAATCTTGCTTCTCGGATTGCCTGATGATCCTTCCACAGCTGCAATCCATGGTTTAGTCTTGTTCATCATGGGATTAACAATATCTTGGAATGGTCCAGCAACAAACAAGTATGTTCCCTTCGAACCACAATATCATTCTGATTTTCTTGCGTAGATCCTTTTGTCTTGTAACTTAATCAACATGACATGTTTGCAGTCCAATTTTTGCGGAGATAGTTCCTGAGAGAGCTCGAACAAGCATCTATGCTCTGGATCGATCATTTGAGTCTATACTGGCATCATTTGCTCCTCCAGTGGTTGGTATTTTAGCTCAACATGTTTATGGTTTTAAACCAATCCCTAAAGACTTAACGGGCTCACAGGAAATTGAAACAGATAGAGAGAATGCAGCCTCACTTGCCAAGGCACTCTACACTGCTATAGGCATTCCAATAACAATTTGTTGTTTCATCTATTCATTCCTTTATTGTACATATCCACGTGACAGAGACCGTGCTAAAATGGATGCATTAATAGACACAGAGTTGCAACGGATTGATAAAACAGACTATCATCCTTCCGATGAAGAAAATGAAATGCACAAAAAAGAACTCACCATGATTGATATCGATTACAACGTAGATGAGAGGCTTGACAACGACGAGAAAAGGCTTCTTCCAGATCAGTTGTAATCCTCTGAATTCTGCAGATTGTAGAGCAAATGCAACAGTCAAGTATGTGCTTCTACGTATGCCACTTAGACTAAGTTAAAAGTACTACTTCAATCATACTGTGAACATTGACATTTTGACCAACCAAATGTTCTTCAAAATCAAAATTTATCGACATGATTTATTTCGATATGTTTGGTTTTATACGAGATAAGTTACGATAAACGTTTAATCAACAAGCATTTATAGCAGCATTGATGTCCGGAACCCCCATAGTGACCTGAGCTAACATGGTTAGAACATCGAAACACAAAAAATACACGTATCACCTCGCATACATCAAGGTTGATGATCATTTCCTGTTCTGATAAGAAGTTGGTAATTCTTGATACATTTCATTGGATATCTGAAAAGTGAGGGATTATCGCTCTGGGGCGAAATTTGTGCTTGGCAAATGGACGAACCAGACTATGACACGTGGATGAACCCTAACCCGAAAACGTTGGTCCTTCTTACATCGAACTAAGAGAATCCTGGAATCAGTCCCTAACATGACTTCGACCGATATTGCACGACAAACACACTCACTCTATAACCAGTTGGATCTCTCACTGGAGACATCACTTTCCAGCTTGAGCTCCCTCATAATGCCTCTCGAGCAGATCAATAGTCAACCTCGAGTCTAATTAGCCTTATCCAATCAATTCGAACCCAACCAGATCGAGCTCAGTTATGTGCTTGTTAAGTACTTGCATTATTTAAAAAAGAATAACCTATTTTTTTTTTATTCTATATAAAAACAAATGACCATATTTCTTTTTTTAGTAACATTTTAATTTCAATTTTTTAAGTGTGTTTGGTATATTTAACATAACTTTAATGTAGAATTACAAAATTGAATTTTTTTTTCTTAAACTCTGTGCTAAATCAAAGTAAAACATTCTTTTGTAAACAGAGAAAGTACGAAGACACCACATTAGGATAGTAGGTCGATTAGATAGTCAAGTGTAGCCGTAGCCGTAGTTCGAACATATCATTGTTTCGTGTACTTTGAACATTAGCCTCTATTTGGTGTAGTATTATTCTTGTAGTTTTCTTTTTGTCTTTTTGAGTTGGGTTATTACTTCGATTATGGTTTTATCTATAACTACAATTTAGGATTGAATTTCTGTTATTTCTCTCTATACTGGAATTGTTTTTCTTTGAGTGAGATTTATCGAAAATAATTATCTCTTTATCTTTAAAGTAGAGGTTAGATGTACTTACATTTTATGCTTTTCAGAACTTACTTTATGTAATTATGAATATATTATTATTGTTGTTGTATTTAAATCTTTAATAAGCATTGAATATGACTCATATTTTTATTTATAGATTTAATACGTTGAAAATACTAAATATTAAACTCAATTAAATTATGAGAAAGTGCCTAACAAAGAGACAATTGGACCAGGTTTGTGCCCCTTTTCAGTTGTGTATTTGTATTTTGTCGCCTGGAAGAGGGGGCCTTGCATGGTTAAAATATATTCCAAGTACTTTCTAAACAAAAATATTTGACTTTGATGGATCTGTCCCACTTTCACTCTCAATAAATATGTCAAAAATATTCAAAACATAGTATTTATTTGCTTCCAAATTGATCTTAATGATAGTTCAGAAATTAATCCAATCAAACAAAAAAAAAAGGCATCCGATGGAATATCTTCACCTATTATAAAATACCGACTCCATCTTGTTTTTTCTTATTTAAGAAAAAAATCTCCGAGAAAGTATGATGAAATCGATTTTTCTCTTTATCTTATATTATATGTTCTTTATAATGTTATAGCAATTGAAAAATATGGAAATAAATGATGATGTCATAATTAAAGAGAAAATCCAAATTTTCTTTGTTCAATTCCTTTTTTTTAAAAGCAAACTTATTACTAGACAAAATATTTAGTTGTCTTTTATTAAAATTAAAAAGATATCAATAGAGATAAGTACAAATAAGGTGAGCTAGATTTTACCTTATCAATCTTAATCAAGTACCTAAGATTTTTCCTCAACTTCTACTAACTAAGAAACATGAAAAAAAAAAAAGGAGTTAAAAGAGAAAACTGAGTATCTAACTCCCTTCTTTTTCAAATATCTTTTTTTCCCCTTAATTTATGTTCAATCTTATTGATTGGGATATTGTAATGTAGTATATAATTGAATTTGTAATTAGAATATCAAAGATTCTAAAGTTGACTTGAGCCCACCACTTGGCATATAAAATCATGCCCGTCCTTGAAGAACTTTGGACATGGTAGATAGACAGAAAAGTATTCAAGGATTTCAACTATTATTAGTCACTTGATTAAATCTTATGTAATTCATTTCTCTGGCCCTCAATGTGCTTGATTGATCAATTTCTTCATCAAGTGTGCAAGAATATCTAATGCATGTCCTACATTTATCTATTCAATTGTCATGTTCCACGCCCTATTCTCATTCATGGCTTCTCTTCTTCTTTTTTAATATATTACGACAAGAATCATATATTTTGTGAAATATCACAAAAAGGGTTTGGGCAGAATAGAGTGTATGCAAACATTTTTATTATCACGTAAAGGTTAAAAAAAAAAAACTAATTTTCAAAAGCCCCTCAGCTCAAGTGCATCAAATCAAGGTAAATAAAAAAGAAGAAAATAAAGAAGGAAGTCTAACAGTTAATAAGAAGAAAAAATGTAAATTCTACACAAAAGAAATTAAACAATACCAGTAATAAAACAATGTGATATATCAAAATATAATAAACAACATATGACAAGAATTACGAGGGTACGCTTAGTACTATGTCAAACACTAACAAGTCTAAATCATCATAATGCAAGGCAACACTCTACTCCTACTAACCTTCTACCCTAATAAACATTCTTCACTCCTTATCTTATTCATGTCCTTGATAATATGAAGTCTTCTCATGGTCTTTCTAATCAGCTCTCCCTAATACTTTGTTGGTCTACCTCTACCCCCTACAAGGATACAACCAGCCTTTTGCACCTCCTCATTGGAGTGTCGACACACCTTCTCTACACATATCCAAACCATCTATATTTCGCTTCCCTCATCTTGTTCTCCACAGAGGTCACCCCTACCTTCTCCCCAATAACCTTATTCCTGATCTTGTCACTCCTAGTATGCTCACGCTTCCATCTCAACATCATCATCTCCGCAATATGCATCTTTTGAATATGTGAGTTCTGCCAACTCTGCACACCTAACCACCACTTTATAAAATATACCTTTAATTAAGTTTAGATGGTACTGACCTTCTTATCACACAAAACTCCAAGGCACACTTTCATTTCATCCATGTTACCCAATGTGATGTGTGACATCATTATCGATGTCACCACTACCCTGAATTACTGACCAAACTACTTAAAACACTCTCTTTTAAAAATAGTGTGTATGGCAAACCTTACTTTCACGTCTGCATTATCCAATAAAACACTCTAAAGGTACCATTAGGGGTGTGCAAAAAACGAAACGATCAATAAACCGAACCAATAAAATGTTATTGGATTATTGGGTTTTTAATGGGTTTAGAAAAAATAATTATTGGGTTATTGGGTCGGTTTCAGTTTTTCCTATTGGGTTATTGGTAAACCGATAACCCAATAAGACGATAGTTATTTACTACTTTACCCTTCCTCAATATCAAATATACATAATTTAATACATAAATAGATTCAATATTAGCTTTTCAGTATCTCAATAGTTAGTACTTATACTTTTGGCGCCTTTAGTCTTTACATTGTAGGGTTAGAAACGGCGGCAAGTCCGCAACAATCCAAGAACCAATAAGTCTTCGAGGAGGTTTTGCAACAACAACAACGACAGTGAGGATTTTTTAACCTTTTCTAATTTCTCTTCTTCTCTAATATCTATCCTTGTGTAATTTCTTCTTCTGTAATCTCTATTCTTTTCTTGTTTCTCCATACTCAATTTCTCAAAAATATGATCTCGCTGTGAAATAATATATACAACCAGAATCAAACACCCTGATTTAGATTAAATCTGGTAAGCATTTGATTATTTTTCTTAAGAAGTCTTTTCCTTTTCAGCAATGTTGAATACTTCCTTTAAAATCTCTTTAGTTTACCTTGAAATTATTTCATTATTGTTGCATGATTAGTGACTATTGTTGAAATCATATTTTACAGAGACACACATATGGCTGAAAATATTTCAACTGATGAGGTCGTGATCCTGGGTGATGAAAGTATTAACTCAAATGCTATGCGTCAAACACAATCTGTTCAACCAAAGGTTACAAAAGAAAGAAAGAGAAGGTCTCGAGCATGGGATAATTATGGAACATTTGTTGATGAAGAAGGAAATAAGAAAGCAAAGTGTAAGCATTGCGGCCAAGATTATTTTGCTGATTCAGTTAAAAATGGTACAAAGGCAATGCTTACTCATATGTTAACATGTCCAAAGATGCCCAAAGTTGTTGACAAAAGTCAAACTCAAATAGGCTTTCAATCTGTTCAAGAAGGGAATACATGTAATGTGATTGTTGTTTCCAGGAAATTTGAGCAAGAACAATGTAGGAGAGCTTTATGCCGCATGGTAATTGTGGATGAACTACCATTCAAGTTTGTCGAGAAGGAAGGTTTTAAAAACTTTATGAAAGTAGCGCAACCTCATTTCAAGATTCCTTCTCGTACCACTATGACACGTGATTGTTTTAAGTTTTATAATGAAGAAAAGCAAAAGTTGAAGAGAGTTTTCGGAGAAGCACGTCAAAAAGTATGTCTGACAACTGATACTTGGACCTCTTTGCAACAGATTAATTATATGTGTATCACTGCACATTGGATCGATAATGAATGGATTATGCATAAGAGGATAATCAGCTTCTGTCCAATTTCCAGCCATAAAGGTGAAAATATGGCTAATGAGATTATTAAGTGTTTGCATGATTGGGGCTTAGATATAATATTTACCATCACAGTCGATAACGCTAGTTCTAATGACGTGACTGTGAAAGAGTTGTCTAAGATGTTCACTAAACGGGGGATCAATTTCATGAATGGAGAACACCTTCATGTGAGGTGTATCGCGCATATTCTAAATCTTGCTGTTCAAGATGGTTTGAAGATGTCTGTTGTGTCTATTGAACGGGTTAGAAAAGCAGTTAAATACATAAGGTTGTCTCCTGCAAGGTGTAAAAGGTTCCAAAAATGTTGTGAAGATGTTGATATTAATTGTAAGAAATCTTTAAGTTTGGATGTTTCTACAAGATGGAACTCCACATACTTGATGTTAAATAGAGCTATTGAGTTTGAAAGTGCATTTTCCAGCTATTCTGCTCGTGATATTAGCTTGTTACATTACCTTAAGTTTGTTGAGGATGAAGATGGAAAGGATGAAAATGGAAGCGCTATTGGTGCCCTTTTGAGTGATGACTGGGACAATGTAAGAAAAATTGCTAATTTTCTTCAAATTTTTTATGAATACGAGAGAAGTATCTGGATCACACTACGTCACAACAAACTCACATTTTCTTAAAATTTGTGAGGTTTCTTGTTATTTGAAACAATTGATATCAAACAAAGATGATAGTGATGATCTTTTGGGTAAAATTGCTTCAAATATGAGAAAAAATTGATAAGTATTGGGGTACTCCAAAGAAGATGAACAAAATGATTTTTATTTATTGCGTTTTGGATCCTCGTCACAATTTTGTTTCAGTTAGCTTTGCACTTCAAATGATGTTTGGGAAAGAAGCTCCAATTTTAGAGAAAAGAGTTGGAGACTACATGGAATTGTTGTTTGGTGAATATGTAAAGTCCCTTTCTAAAGATAAAGGTAGTCAACACTCTTCATCTTTATCTAGTTCTTCATTTGAAAATTCCAGTTCACTGCTTTCAAGTTCAGGCAGTGTTGTCCAATCGATAGGATCTTTAGGGACATTTATGGGTGATCTAATGAAACATAAAACTGAAAATACAACAACTGTCAAAACAGCATTGCAAAAATATTTTGCTGAAGAAAATGAAGTTGAAAGCAAGAACTTCAACATCTTGTCTTGGTGGAAAATAAACTCACCCAGATTTTCCGTTCTTGCTGAGATGGCTCGGAATGTGCTAGCTATTCCCATTTCAAGTGTGGCATTTGAGTGTGCGTTTAGTACTGGTGGACGTATCTTGGATTCATTTAGGAGTTCATTAACTCCTAAATTAGTGCAAACTCTAGTGTGCCTTCAAGATTGGATAAAAAGTGAATCACGACCTATAAGTGTTGAGGAAGATATAGATGTCCTCGAACAGCTTGAACAAGGTAATGATATTTTTGGTCATAAGCATATTTTTGATTGATTAACGTAAATTCTTTATAGATTTGGCTAATACTAACATTCTGGATGAGTAATGTGGAGTTAAAACTCTTCTTTTTTTGCACTTGATCTTGATATTTGGTAAGCCACTCTAGCTACAAGTTGCTCTAAGTAATGTATTCACTTGATTTTCAAAGCATAAGACTCTTTCAAGATAATAAATTAGGAAATGAGGTCAGATATTACATATTGTCAAGCTTAACTTACTCAACACATGATACATATTTACTAATTAGAAGTGTTTGGAGTTAATTAAGGGACGTGATGATACTATAAATGGATTAGTTGCTAATTAAAATAGAATTGTTAATTTAGTAATTGTGCCTAATAGTATGCAGCTTACCGTGTTATTTAAATGTGGATGTTATGCATTTATGGAGACTATTTCATTAAATATGTTCATCATCAAAGTGTGTTCAATTTTGTCATTAAATGTAAAGATGTACTCTAATAGTCTATTAAACTGGTGACTGTCTTTTTCTTTTTCAGGCTATTTGATTTTTTGGTTAGGAAATTGGTGAGAACTTTGTTGATTATCTGGTGGATCAAGCAACTGTTCAAGATTGTCTCATTGAAATATTTTATTTTAGTTTTAATTCTAGTTCGTAATTGTAGGCGATAGCTTTTGCAAGTTTCTAAATGTTAGTAATTTGATCAACATTCAAAGTTTCCTATTATGTTTTGGCGGTAAGTTGGTAACATGTAATTATAACATGCGTACTATTATATATTATTTGATCGACATTTTTTTATTGGGTTAACCGAAAATTGAACCGATAACATCAAAAACCGATAAATTGAAAATCGATAAAAAATTTCTTATTGGTTTGTTATGGGGTAAGCATATTTTAAAACCGAAAGCCAATAAACCGAACCGATAATATATAAAACCGAACCGAACTGACCGATGCACACACCTAGGTACCATAAGTGACATGTCTCCTCCAAAACGGTTATATAAATCACAGACACGAAACTCTTCTCTTTCCCTAATTACTTGTTACAAACCACAATTATGTTAAGTTAATAAATGAATTCTGAATTTTATAGGCTTTGAAAATTCTTGAGGAGTTCTACTACATTCCCTACAATAATCATTTTAATTTTGTTAAAGAATGACAAAAATTCACATTGGTGGTTAATGAGATGGGTGAACTCTTTATAAGATTTGAACAATCCTCATCCCTTTGATCTAGCTTTTGGGGTGTAAGTTAGGCCAAAGACCTAATTTCAACAAGATATCAAAGCAGGGTCCGTCTCACTCGATAATGAGCCCCCAAAAAATCAAAATTGTCCACGCACCAGATACTAAGCACTGGGTATGAGGTGGGTGTTAAAAAATGACAAAAGTCCTACATCGATGGTTAATGAGATGGGTGGACTCTTTATAAGGCTTAGACAATCCTCCTCCCTTTGAGCTAACTTTTGGGGAGTGAGTTAGGCCTAAGACCTAATTTCTAACAACTTCCCCTTTGAAAACCAATTTTCTTACATATTCTCCATTAATAAGCATTTGTTTTTCTTGAGACAAAAATAAATAAATTGTTTTTCTTTTTTGTCTAACTAGGACCAATTTGGGCCCCAACTTGTGGCCTTAAACAATTACTCTTCTAAATTCCAGTGGTTGTAACGTTCGTTAATCATTAATTAGTCGTTACAATTGATAATTCTTTTGTGACAATAATTTAAATTAAACTAGCAAAAATATATGTCTATCTTCCTATTAGTACGGATAAATACGTACAGAAGATATATTTTCTTTCTTCACAAGAAGTAGGTGTTCTCGTGAAGAAAATATATATATATTTTTTAATATCTTTGAATCTCCAATATGTCCCACAGTTTCATGCATGGATATAGTGTATTAGTTTACTTTTCATGTACTTTTAAATTTCCTTTTTGAAAATGGAGAAATTTTCATAAATAAGTATAATTTTATTATAATTATAAATAATAGCTATAATTAATCTAATTATAATCATTTACAATAATTTTAGGGAGTAAAGAGTTCGAAATAGAGAAATGAAGCGAAATATCAAAAGAGATAGAGGAGAGAGGAGTCGCAATCAGGTTGTATCTCAATCTAAAATAGGATACAACATATACATAGTTTTATTTCTATCTCAATTCTCAAATATCTCGTGTGTCGCTCCTCTCTCTCAAGCTCTCATATGGATACATATATTAGCTTTGACTAAGATGTTAGTGTACATCTTATCACCCCTAAAATAAATATACATATATAATATATATCAATTTTTGTGATACACAAATGAAAAACATTGATACAATGTTTGGAATTTGCATCACCCCGAAATTAAATACACATACATTTATTCTGATCATAAGTATATCAATTTTTTATTATACATATATATAATTGGTTGTATCAGTATGTATCAACCGATCAAAATACATCTTTTTTCTGATATATAGATACAATTGACTATATAATTTGGAAAAATTACATGGGATGAGAAACATCTCTAAGTAATTATATAATAAGGGTATAGTTTAATTTATTTACTTTCAATAATTATAATTTTATTTTTTTGTCATGATTAATGGGACCCACCACTTCTTTTTATACGGTAAAAGACCTTTTTTTGAGTTTGTATATAATTATATACAAATCAATTTTATCTTTCCTATCCCATTCCACCTCTTTCTCTTATAATCACTCCTCCTCTCCTATTTTGAATTGTCAAAAATTTCACGTTCTCCTTCAAATATTTCGTTCAATTTTCACAGATAACCGTCAAAATATAGCCGTGAATCAATTTTTTTTGTCGTTTCCTTCTTCAACAATTGTATATATATTGTGCTTCTTTGTTTTTTCATTTTTTTTTAAAAAAAAATCGTTCTAATTATTTGATTGTAAGCTTTTCAAAATCAAAATGGATGCATCATCTCCATCTATGAGGTTTACCACAATATGTCATTGCATGTCAATACTGTTGACAAATTACCCTCGTTTTCAATTGGTTTGACTCAAGATTTTGGGGTTAATGTAGGGCTATGGCAAAAATCAAACAAGTTCAAGATGAACATCAATGGAAGAAATGAGATCCAAGAAAAAAAAATATAATGGCAATTCAGAAAGTTATTAACAACGCCATAGTTAGCGGCATTAAAATTATTAAAGGAGGAACTAAGAGAAAAGCCATAACAAGCGAATCAGAGGTGAGTGAACCTGAAATTGACAGATCTGAAGAACATCAAGATCATCAAGTACCAGCTTAGAATACAATTTTAGATAAAATATTCTATTACTTATGTGCAAATATACATAAAATGTATGTTTAAGTAATTTTTGTATATGCATAATTGTATATAGTATGTTGCATGTTTAATTCAAACGTGTTTTAGTTATTTATGTATTCCCATTAGATATATAAACGAAAGACATAAAAGAATACTTTAAGTAGATGTGTAGTTTATGCTAAAGTTATATTGTACTTAATTATTGGAATTTGTATATTCCGTTAGTTTTATACAAATTATTTAAGTTATTTATATAATGACTTGTATACTAGTTAATAAGTATAGAGTGAATTGTATACTAAAGACAATTGTATATAGTTTACAAATATATATATATATATATATATATATATATATGTATGTATATATGTATGTATGTATGTATGTATATATATATAAGTATAACAATAGATTGTAATTTGTAAATATCATATATACAATTGACATAAGAATTTTGTACTACAAGTTTAATTAGTAATAACAAAATTAAATTACACTCATTTTCGTGTGCTCATATACAAATACATTGCAGCTAAAATTTTTTTAAAAAAATTACTCAATTTCATAAATGTATATAATTGTCTCATACGACTTTGTATATACTACACTTACATACATTTCAACACATACATTACTGCATAAATTTGTATATAAATATTAGAAAACAGAAACGGATTTTATACAACTATATTACAAAATACTCAATTTCATAAATGTATACAATTGTCTCATACTCATTCACATATACTAAATTAATATACATTTGAACATACACATTACTGCAGTATATAAATCTTTAAACATATATACAAACATATACAATATACATTCAAACCATTTTTCATAAACAAGCCAGATTATCATATGTACAATTACACTGGGGATATATACAAAGTCACAGGCACAAATGATTACACGTAAATCCAAGATTGTATATACAAGAGAAAATTGTATAATTACATTTTTATGCAATCTACAACACCATAACAGATAAAATTTGTTTTATAATTTCAGTATTTTCGATATTCTAAACAATTGTATAATATATTGCAATTCAAACATAAAGTTTTCTTCAATGAAACATTACATGTCTTTGAATATGTCAAAAAATTGATTAAAATGATGCCTCAGTGATGCATAGAAACAAGTTGGTTCTATCTTTCAATCGATGTAGAATTCTTTTTTGGAAAAAAAAATTGATTTTGAACATTTACCTTAAATTATGGCATTATTTAAATTTATTGTTACCTTATTTAAGGTTATCGTTACTATTCATGTAAAAAAATTGTTGTATAAATTATAAAAAAAAATATTTTATACAAATTTAAAGCTACCTAACAAACCAAACTATACCTATTGAATGTAACTATGCAATCTATTTTCATTTAATGATATTTCATAAAATAAGTTTGTCATATATGAAATTTTCATTAATTTAAGATGAAGAAAAGATCCAAACATTGAACAACAAATTAAGAGCCCAAAATGAAAAATAACAAATTTAGATATAAAAAAGTTCAGGTGAAACTGTAATACGGTTTCATATCGTATTAATATGTTCTAAAAAACAAAGAGGTAGAAGAAGAAACAAAGAAGAGAGATTTACTATATCACATTCAGTATACTTATATTATATAATTTTTTAAAGCATGTTTACGTCATGTATATATCTTATATGATACTGTAGGCGCTAATAAGTATATATTTAGCACAATATTCGTTGAATTAGTCAAATTAGTTCATTAGTTGGTTCACATATATAAAAAAATAAAATAAAATAAAGGAGAGAATAATTATTTGATTTCATCAAGTCAATATGTAGTTGACAATAAACAAATTGGTAGCAACTGCATCTGTGGGAGTCCACCAGTAGTCCATGTATTGTGCAAAGTTTGTGAGTAAATGGACAAATTATTAGGTCTACTTTTTCTTCACTCCCTAACTTAATACTCCATTGAATAATGTCAAATATTCCACAAGACTTTTGACCCAACTTACTCTTCATTAATATTCATTCGAGTGTAGGAATACAATTACTTCTTTGAGTAGTATAATACCAAAATTAAACATAAAATAATTAGTCGTGTTATATGAAATTTTCTCAAAAAATGTATAGCTTGAAGGACGAATGTTAACTTCAGGAGCACCATTTTTGGTGTATCATTAAAGATTGTATATATTTAATGTTAACCTCCATTATAGTATAGCAGAGTAGTATAGAGATCCACCAAGTATTTATGTACTGTAGGTTGAGGCGAAACCACATGATTATCAGGATGTCCAATTGAATATTATTTTTAGAATAAATATGATTCATAAAATTATTAAATAATATATTGCGAATATCTCAACACGATAGACGGTTATAGATTCTATCTAGTGATTATATCAGTGACATTTTTGGGCACATGATGGTGACGGTTTGACGGTGAACGTTTCATGAGATAATTTGATTCATTAGTTAAATATGTTTTACATGTACTATCCAACAACATTACATTTATGGCCAAACCAATTATTAATGAGCTTACTAGTATAATTTATATTTTTGGAATTTGTTTTTGGCCTCATATTTTTTTAATATTTATTTTACCGTTTTAAATATTTTTATCTTTTTAACATGAATAACTTTTAAGTAGAAAAAGAAAATTTATTTTTAAAAAATAAACAAATTATAGTTTTCTTAATTTTTTGATCATTTAGCACTTCTCTTCCTCAAAGACAACAACTATCTATATGTGTTTTCACATATTGTTAATTATTAATTTTCTCTCTCGATTTATATTTTTTATCAATATCAAAATGACCGACAAATAGTAATAATTTAATTTTTAAATATTCATTTTTCCATAATAAGATGATTTATAGTCATTTCCACAATTAGCTATGGTGCTTTTAGAACAGTAATTTTATAAGGTCTTATTTTCTTCTTAGATTCTTTGTTTATACAAACTATATTATATAAACTGAGACAAAACGAATATTTTATATTTGTTTAAATTATTGATTATTTATCTTGAATTTCTTATAGTAATCCATATTTTTCCCTAAAAAGAAAAAGAAAAGGTTTCTATCTGCTCTTTTTGTAGGAAAAAATCATGACATTATAAATAGAGATTCATTCCTCTTAAATTAGCAACATTCACAGTATAATTCTTAACGGCTTTGAAAGTTTTCTGTAGCAGCCAGAGAAATTATTATCACTTGTATAAACCTCCTATATTCAGGTTGAGTTATGTGAGTTAACTTTTCACTATATTTTATATTTTTATATATATATATAGTCAATTAATTGAACACATTAACTTTTTATGTCTTTCAATATTTATCGTTTATTTTTTTAATTATTATCTTTCAAAGAAATTTATTTTGCACCTAACAAAGATGTCTCTAAACTCTTACACATATGACAATAGACAAAGATAAAGAAATCTGAACGACAGTTAGGAAAAAAAAAAGCCAAAAGCGCGTAGTATTTGTTGGATACTATGCTTGTCTAATTGCTCCATGTGATGTGATGATAGTCATATTCTAAGACTTTAACATTAAAGTCTCCTCCTTATACTTCCCATCACCATTCACACACATTATTATAAAAAAATAAATTTCTCAAATTCAGATCCATTTCAAGCCTTTAAATCATCAACCAAAAACCATATAGAATTCAGTACATTATGGCTCTATTTGTTGTAACTCAACACTTTGCTAACATACTTTTAATACTCTTACTACTTTCTTCATTCATTTCTGCTCATACTCAAAACAATGCTTCATCAACAACAAGAAGAAGAATATTGAAACTACACATTGATGATAATCCTCAACCAATTAAGAAAAAATCCATTGCAATCATTGATGATGATAAGAATCCTCAACCAATCAACAAGAAATCCTATTCAAATTCACTTTCCACTTCCAACAATCAAACCAAACTCACTAATGCCTCTTCCAAGAACCAAACCAAGCTTGTAAAAACTAAACTTTCTTTATCTGATTCAGTTTCTGTTTCAACCAAGAACAAAATCAAACTCACCCCAGAAGAGAAACTTGCACTAAAATCCCAATTGAAAAAACTCAATTCCACTTCCACCAAATCCTCAGATCTATACAAAACCACCACAAAGAAACTCAATGAATCCAAATCCAAAAACTCAACAAAATCCCAATCATCTACCAGGAAGAAGGATTCAAATTCACAACCCTATTGGTTACTAAATGACGAAGATGATTTAACCACTGGTCTTACGGACTTACCATCTAAATTCCAAGAAACCCTTTTACCAGATTTAGAAAAAATATCAAAAACCTCAACTGTCTACCTCAACAAAGCCAACAAACATATCACCAACAACTTCAAACCCATTGTGGGCAAAAAATATGCATCCACAATAGCCTCCATAACTTCATTTACCTTCATTCTAATCCCTCTAATTCTTGTTTCTCTCATTTTCAACAAAATCAAAGCTTATTTTTCACTCCAAAGACTCTTAATCTTCACCCAAGTTTATCTCTCCATTTACTTCTCCATTCTCTGTCTCTCTTCTCTACTCACTGGGTTAGAACCACTGAAGTTTTTCTACGCTACATCGCAGTCCACCTACATTTGTCTACAGCTCCTTCAAACCCTTGCTTATGTGTTGTACCTTCTGATGCTACTGATGTACCTCGTCTTGGTATTTTCTACTAATACTGGGCCGGTTACGAAAATGATTGGGCTGACCCAAACTTTTGTGGGCTTTGCTGTTGGGCTTCATTATTATATGACGGTGTTTCATAACGCTCTGTTACGTCAGCCTCCTAAGACTAGTTGGAGGATTCATGCTATTTATGCCACGTGTTTTCTTTTGATTTGTCTATTAAATAGAGCTGAAAAAAGGAAGAAAACTTACTTACAAGAAGGTGGTGAAGAGGGTAAAATGAACTAGAAGTAATTTTGTTTGTTTTATAATTACTTAGATTAGGAAGTGAGATGAGATAAAAAAAAAAATAGAAGGAAAAAAACATTGTTTCTTCTATATTGCAATTTGTAATTTATGAGGGTTTTGTTATATATATTTGAATAAATGATGCAATTATAGTAACATTTGGTTCTTTTATTCGATAAAAAATGAGGCTAGTGTAGAACATCTCCCACTATAAATATGGTTCTATACTTTTAGAAAGGTATTACAGACGTAATCAAAAGGGTAAAAAGTTTAATACATTTTCTCATATGAATTCGATATCTCGTAACTTGAGCTATTAAAATGGGTTTAGCCTATAGGGCCGGTTCATCCCAACCTGTTATTCATTAGGATTTGCATATGATTTTTCAAACTCATCTAAAACTAGAGCTTATAAGTTCGGTCCATATAAGTCATTGGCCTTTGAGACTTGATTAAGGTCGAGCCAAGATTGACCCATGGATCAAAATTTTTTATTTAAGGTTAACTTAAAATAATATCATTAGTATATTATCTAATTACTTAAATACATGTTATGTTGTAATATTATGAAACTTATTAGATTTTGATACGTCTATAATCATCTATCTCGAAATATATGAACTCAAAATTAAGTTAAATTTGTTTTAGATACAATTTGTTCAAGTAGATTTGCTAAATTTATGATACATAAACAAATCTCACGACCTCGCCTCCCTCCATCTTTATTTTCACTCTCTTATCTCGCTTGCTTATCTGGTATATGAGATACATGCTTATTGCACTAGATTTTTTGTTAGTGTTACAATTTCATTATTTGTTCATATTGAATTTGAAAATTTTCTCATTTTCTTTATGTTTATAGAATTATAAGTTCGAAAAGAAAAAAAGGGCTAGCCCGCCCCAACCCTCAGCCTTTCTGGGGTTGGATTGGGTTGAACATTTTCAGATCCTTCAAGATGAAGGGTTGAACCGCCCTTACCTTTCAAATTCCTTGATCTCTGCGAGACTTGGGTCGAATGACGTGGACCATAACCAAACCAGAAAATGACAAATCAATCAAAAATATCATCAACGATTTATGATTTATTTAAATATCACATAGTTTGATTTACAATATTATTCGGTGCACCCATTCATCGAAAAAAAAAACATTTACTTAATTCGAAAATTTGAACACCTCAGCAAAAAATTTAGCTACACCACATTGACATGTTACACCACGGACGTCAATTAAAAAAAAAATGGTTACACCTCTGGCAATGAATATACACACACTGTTGACTATACTAGTTAGATTAATTTTGAGCCATATAATCATTCTCCGGCAACGGCCTAATCGCGTAATTGTTCTCCGACGAAGACCTGGACGGAGCTCCCTCTGCCATTGGCACTTCAGTAAGTAATGGTACAATTATTGCTGCTGAATCTTCCAGAAATTCCGGTCTTGTTTCAACTAATATACAATTTTGCGCGAAAACAAATAATACTCCCAAAAATGCGAAACCTAAAAAACCCAATGAAATAGTCCAGACCTCAGATGTGATTTTTCGATGATCATTTCCATCGTCAGCAGAAGGAGCGGGGCTAGGAGCAACATTCACTTCAGCAACAATAGCGAAATGCCCCTGTTTTCTCGTTGAACATATATTACCATTTGTCACGTCACTAAACTCGATGTAATTATTCGAGTCAAAATAAACACACTTGAACGAAGACTCTTCTGACTCTGACTCAGGCATTACGTCATTAAACTTGATGTCTATAGGATTTTCCAATGGATGGATTTGCAATTGTGATTTATTTTTAGCGCACATATCCATCGCATCATAAGTCAAAATACCCAAAATTGGTGTTCGATACATATAACCAATAGGTAAAGGATAATAAAAAGACGACCAATTACCAAGATTTTGATAGACAAGAACGATTCTCGTTACATAAGGCTCGACAGTAATTCCGGTTGGGATAAGAAATTCATGATAATAACCATATCCTCTCCATTTTAAGCTATCTCTTCGAAGCATCAACGCCGATATTTTAATCCCAAACAAGTTAGAAGGAACAGTTCCTTCATAAGCAGTACCTGTTTTTGTCTTCGGCCATAATAATGCCTTGAAAGCATATTCTTGAAGTAATGAATCAAGAGAACTTTTTGTTGAAAATTCCGAATTTATTGATTCAGATCCAATCGCAGCACAAATAAGAAACCAAAAAATTGTGTATATATAAACAATTACTGAATGCATTATGAAATTGGGACAATTTTTATGTAAACTAGAAAAAAAGAGATGAAAATTGGAATAGAATTTTTGGTATGCAGGGGAACAAGTAATTAAAGCTATAGTTTTTGTTAAAAATTAAGTCAACTATTAATCATGTTAGGGTGTATGAATTAATTCCTTATTTGTTTATTACAGTTAGGTGACCGAAAATGTCATATGTACAGATCATCTAGGCTCTAGCACTATAAATATTAAAGTAAAATATAGTAGATAAATATTAATAGTATTCAACTTCACAAAACTTATATAGTAGTTGTTTAATCTAAGCCAGCTTTAATTAGTTTTAACATTAATATAATATACAATGGTACGAAAGGACATATTTTCATTTGTTGAAATAATCAACTTATATATAGATTTGTACATATTGACGTCGTAGATTTTTAAATTATAAATATTGTTGTTGCTCGTAATTATATTTTTATTAATATAAATAATATTTTTGACTGTTAATATTTAATCATAAATATTATTCTATTTATTCGTATATATATATCATTCCATTTATTCATATTTATGTTATGGTATTCAATTGATCACATAATTTAAAAATGAAAGGAGAAATAGTTGAAATTTGTGGAATAAATCATAGTAAAAATTTAAGGAATCCCATAGTGTAATTCAATAATTTCATTCTGTCCCGATAAATTTAGTATTTACAAAAAAATTCTTAAATTTGTTGAGCCGTGATACTTTAGACTCTAGTGATACATGGTAATTTTAAACTGTTGAGGAAAAAAGGGGGGAAAACGGTACAGTTAATGTTGTTAATAAAACAACTAAATTTACGGTAACATATCATTAATCAACATAAAATCAGCACTTAATTGGATATTAATTTCAAATTTTGAAAAACAAAGATTATATCATCTATTTTGAAAACAATTTTTTTGAACAATCTGTTAAATTTCGAACTACAGTAATTTTATTGTTGTTACAGTGGATTTTTCAAGATGAATACATCGATTTTGATGAGACATTCCGGAATTTGGGTGAACGAATTGCAGAATGAAAGTTACAAAATCAACGGAATCATTGTTGGAGATTCAATTTCGTATCTAATACATGTATCAGAAACATAGACTAAACAATATACACACTGATTCTATATGTATCATCAAGTACAATTGATGACGCATTTATTAAACTTAGTGAATGATACATTATAACAATTTTCAAAACATGTATCAGTACATCAACTAAACAACTAATACCTTACTGATACATGATATCAGTTTTCATAAATTTATACTATATGCAAAACATGTGATACATATCTACTACATGTATCAGTGAATTGACTAAACACTGTACACACTGATTCTATATGTATCATCAAGCACAGTTGATGACGCATTTACTAAACTTATTGAATGATACATTATAACAATTTTCAAAATTTCATGATACATATAAAATATTATGATACACAACAAATTCATGTATCAATTCACCATCTAAAACACTATACACACTTATTCAAATGTATCGGCAAGCACACTAGATTTCTTAAAATTTTTACTAATTTCAACAACAGTTTTAAGTACCAAAATACTAACCCGAGACAATGTAGTTCTAACAAACTTTAACTCTTTGAGTCCTGTTTGGCCTTATGCAAAGTTGATGCTAGAGGAAGAGAAAGGGGAAGTGGTAACTGGGAGAATGTATTGGGATGAGATGAAGATTGTCTATTTGTTTTTATCACCTTAACTTCTTCTAAGGCAAGAGGCACTGGTTCTTATGTTTTTGGTGTGTAAGCAAAAGATATGGAAGTAAGAACAAAACGGTAGAAAGATATGGAAGTTATCCTACTTCCTGATTTTTTGAATTTTGAAATTCAAAATTTCAAAATTTGGTCTTTTATTTAAAATTAATTAAATTTAATAATTCAAAATCAAAAAGCTGATTAAAAGGTTGAGTGTTTAAATGAATAAAATTTAAAATTCAAAAACTAATTTAAGAGGTTGAGTGTTTTGATGGAGAAAAAATAGGCATTAAAATTGATAAATGT